CATGTGTCGCTACGTAGTTCTCTTCGCAAACACTGAACACAATGGAACAATAGGAGAGAACAAGACAACCAGCATGAAGCAAGATTTCAACCAAATCCCTGACCTTGTGTGTCTGCTTTCTTTGAAGTATTACTATATTTGGAGTCGCTGTTCATGACGACGTTGGGAGCACGAGTGGCCCAGTAATCTAAAGCGCCGCGATTCGCTGTGCAGAGTTGCGTCCCTTGGGTACGCCGTAAACTTATGATTGTGGGTTCGACCCCCGGTTCGCCCCGATTATGTTTCTATGTTTGTCAGCACCATACCCGTGCTCGTAGGCTTCGTCGAAGTGGTAAATGTCTAAGACCTGCATCACTTCGAGCTTTCCTCCCACATTATGCTGACACGCGGTGATATAACTTGACTACTGTTAAAAGCGGCGTTAAACATAACTCACTCACTCACTCTACGCGTGCAAGGTGGAAATATGGTATGCAACTTCCTGGAAGCATCATCGAAATCCTCGATATTAGGAAACGTACTTGTAAAAGTGAACCCAGTGGCCTGAGGCACTGAGGTGTGTGGTTTGTTTTGTTTAATAGCTCACGATCCAGCATTATCCCAGGTACATGACGGCGGCCTGTACAAAAAACAAGTCAGAGCCAATCCAGTGTTTGATATTGTGACCCCCGATCCACACCGTCGGGGTACATGTTTTCAACTTTAGAGGTTAATGTTCCTTCCTTTGCCGCTGTTAAGAGGTGGGCGGGGCGGTCGGGTAGCCTAGTGGTTAAAGCGTTCGCGCGTCACACCGAATACCCGGGTTCGATTCCAGACATGGGTACAATGTGTGAAGCCCATTTCTAGTGACCCCCGCCATGATATTGCTGGAATATTGCTGAAAGCGGCATAATCCGATACTCACTCACTCACTCACTTAAGATGTAGGCAGCAGAGTTCAAGAAGAGGAGGGAGAGCCTCGGGGATGAGCCTAAAGATCTTCAACTGCCACCACAAATTAAATTGTAGATAAAGTACAAGGGAGTAACTAGGCTAATTTTTTGTAATCAAAACCATTTTTAACAGCCCTGCCCAGGGATTAATTTTTTTTAGATGCTCTTAAACGCTGTTTCCTGCTTTTTGGGACTGTTTATGTTAAATTGGGTTTGTAACAAATATTGGTCATTTATTTATTGTAATTTTTTATTAATAATATATATGCTTGTTTCACAAGCATATTTTCGACTTTCATTCAAGAAACATCTATGATGACAAATGAAATTTGAAAATTAAAACGAATCGATTTTATTACTTTTATGTGTTTTCACGTGTTAATTCGTATTATGTGATGGTTGTTTATTCGTATTTTTAAAAATTAAGTGCGTAAGATTCAGTCTTCAAGTTAGACAATAAATATCAAGTTCGACCGTGTAGAGTTTAAATTACTGCACAGATGGTTTTCTTATTTTAAAAGAAAATTGTACAGTTTTGGTGTAAACATGTGCTTGCTTTTAGGTGTAAGCAATTGCTTTTCTGCGACAAAGCTAGATTCGCCCCTGACGTACATGAAATGATTACAGACTACCACTCACCATCCGTCACTTATAGCCAACGGCCTAGTGGTTAAAGCGTTCGCTCGTCACGCCGAAGACCCGGGCTCGATTCCCGACATGGGTACAATGTGTGAAGCCCATTTCTGGTGTCCTCCTCCGTGATATTGCTGGAATATTGCTAAAAGCGGCGTAAAACCATACTCACTCACTCACCCAATACAGTAGGCAGCTCTCACGAGAGAGTTGAGAACATTCTGAGGAATAAACTGGGTATGGCAAAGGTTTCAGCACGCTGGCCCCAAAGCTTCTGACTCCTGGGCCCACTTGCACAAAGCGACCTTAGCGCTAAGACTATTGTAAGCCTATGTTAAGTATGGGAGTTACGATCATCTTAGCGCTAAGACTATTGTAAGCCTATGTTAAAGTATGGGAGTTACGATCATCTTAGCGCTAAGACTATTGTAAGACTGTGTTAAAGTATGGGAGTTACGATCATCTTAGCGCTAAGACTATTGTAAGCCTATGTTAAAGTATGGGAGTTACGATCATCTTAGCGCTAAGACTATTGTAAGCCTATGTTAAAGTATGGGAGTTACGATCATCTTAGCGCTAAGACTATTGTAAGCCTATGTTAAAGTATGGGAGTTACGATCATCTTGGCGCTAAGACTATTGTAAGCCTATGTTAAAGTATGGGAGTTACGATCATCTTAGCGCTAAGACTATTGTAAGCCTATGTTAAAGTATGGGAGTTACGATCATCTTAGCGCTAAGACTATTGTAAGCCTATGTTAAAGTATGGGAGTTACGATCATCTTAGCGCTAAGACTATTGTAAGCCTATGTTAAAGTATGGGAGTTACGATCATCTTAGCGCTAAGACTATTGTAAGCCTATGTTAAAGTATGGGAGTTACGATCATCTTAGCGCTAAGACTATTGTAAGCCTATGTTAAAGTATGGGAGTTACGATCATCTTAGCGCTAAGACTATTGTAAGCCTATGTTAAAGTATGGGAGTTACGATCATCTAAGCGCTAAGACTATTGTAAGCCTATGTTAAAGTATGGGAGTTACGATCATCTTAGCGCTAAGACTATTGTAAGCCTATGTTAAAGTATGGGAGTTACGATCATCTTAGCGCTAAGACTATTGTAAGCCTATGTTAAAGTATGGGAGTTACGATCATCTTAGCGCTAAGACTATTGTAAGCCTATGTTAAAGTATGGGAGTTACGATCATCTTAGCGCTAAGACTATTGTAAGCCTATGTTAAAGTATGGGAGTTACGATCATCTTAGCGCTAAGATCGCTTTGTGCAAGTGGGCCCTGGTCAGAAACGCTCAAGGTTTATCATCTTTCAAGAATATTTCCGTCGTTTTAAAGCAGTTCCAGCTGATTATGTGGAGAGATTTGTATCTATGGATGAGCCTGGGTTCACCACTATCAGCCAGAGACTAACCAACAGTCCAAGTAGTGGAACAAATCTAACGTCTCCTCCGACGAATGTAAAATCTGTTCCATCAGCTGACAAGGTGATGGCTTCGGTTTCCCAGGATACCAAAGATATCTTACTGGTGGACTCACTTCAGGAGAGTTGCCCTACCAGGCAGATGTACCTGTGCTCTAGTCTGTAGTGGTCATGGCTGCAATGCAAGACTGTCTGAAGACAGAACTGGCCGGCAAGCATTGTGCAAAATGATAATGACATCGTTTCTGCTGGGGAGAAGTTTTTCACCGCCAGGGTGAAGCTTTCTTCATCAGTGAGATCCAAGAAGCCCAGCATCGTTGGCAGAAATGTGTGGACCTCGGAGGACATTATGTAATTACATAATTAACATAATTAAACATAATTACCAACTCCATTAACGCTGTCATAGTCAGTCTCAGAGTTTTCAGCCTCCTTTACATTGTTACAAATACCGACTGCACCATGGAGCGGCCTTATGTTTTCACGCGTTGTGGAGGAACGTACCGTAATCCTTGATATGAAGTATTAACTATCTTTTAAGGTTTAGTACAAAAAGACATTGAACGAAGATTCATTTAGGTTATGTCAAAGCGTTGGTAATAAGCCTATCCTTCGTACATAAAAAATAAAAAGTTATTGAACTATTGTATTTCACATTTCATTTTCGCCCGATATACAATTGAATTAGTTAGACTGTTTACTTTAAAGATATGACAAGGATGATATGATGATATGTGAGGCTATCTATCTATCTATCTATCTATCTATCTATCTTCCTCACATCCTGGTGAGGTGATCTACCTTCACTTGCTGGCGGTGAGGTGAGGCGAAATTGGGTTTAACGTCGCGTCCAAGATTATTGCACTTATATAGCGACGTGCATGTACGTATGTGTGTTTGTGTGGCTGCTTGTACTATTCCGGACTGATGCCGATTTATAGTGCTAGCTCACTGAGATACCATGCCGCAGTTTAACATGAATACCCAACTCAGACACAGTATACTGACTCCGAGCCGACCAGTCCTTGTTTAAGCCCTTCAATGCCGAGCGCCAGACAGGGTAACAACAAGAACCATCTTTTAACGTCTTTTGGCCGGGGATCGAACCCCGGACCTTCCGCTCTCTTGGCGGACGCTCTACCACTAGACCACTTGCTGGCGATCTATAGCCTTTTTAATATTGTATCGTTACATATAGTGAAATCTTTTAATGGTTGTACACCAGTTTTAAATACGAATCTGTGATATTCTGGTTATTTTACTGTCCTTCGTTGACAGGCTTTTATTTTTTAAATGTATATATTATGTATAACTTTTGTTAGTCACGATATGGCTGGAATACTGCTGATGTGACTATAAATCTTAACTCACTCACTCACTCCTCACATACATATACAATTAATAATTATGTTTCTTTTCAGTGGTACCTTTCAATGTATTCTCACACAGTACATGTAATCTCCGTCAGAGACATTATGAAACGAGCATACATAATTGTTCCACTATAAGGGGCGGTCGGGTAGCCTAGTGGTTAAGGCCTTCGCTCGTCACGCCGAAGACCCGGGTTCGATTCCCGACATGGGTACAATGTGTGAAGCCCATTTCTGGTGTCCCCCCGCAGTGATATTGCTGGAATATTGCTAAAAGCGGCGTAAAATCAAACTCACTCACTCACTCACACTGTTCCAGTATAATGCATGTATGATTTAACTAAATGCATCGAAATTATAAATCATTTGTGTTTTTGTATGTTTAGTGAAAACGTTATCTTTCCCAAAAAAATTGCTGTTTTGGTCCAGGCTAGCTACCATGTTAAACATAAACCTGAATTACAGAGAGAAGTTTCAGATAACCTTTATTTCAACAGAACTAACGGTAAAGAATACATGATATCACAACTAACTCGAGGATTATGTCGTGTCAGCACAAACGTAAAGCAGCCATTCTTGAAATCCGATATCAATTTCTACAAGATATCTTGGTTCCATCATTTTGTCTGTCATTTGGTCTTCAAAAGTAAAATAAAAATATTCTGAGATGTTACCTATAGAAATTCGTAAGTGGTATCTGTTTGAAATTCACACGTATTTGTTTAATGATTTCAACAGGCATATAAACTAATACAACTATGAAACAGCTGTGCCAAACACAGTGTCCCGACAAGTTATCTGAATATTAATATGAAATGAATCTGGAATAGTTGATACAAACCATGGTGAGTGAAATATATATTCCACATTGCCTATTATGGTGAGTGAAATATATTCCACATGGCCAATCATGGTGAGTGAAATATATTCCACATGGACAAATCATGGTGAGTGAAATATATTCCACATGGATAATCATGGTGAGTGAAATATATTCCACATTGCCAATCGTGGTGAGTGAAATATATTCCACATAGACAATCATGGTGAGTGAAATATATTCCACATGGCCAATCATGGTGAGTGAAATATATTCCACATGGCCAATCGTGGTGAGTGAAATATATTCCACATTGCCAATCGTGGTGAGTGAAATATATTCCACATAGACAATCATGGTGAGTGACATATATTCCACATGGAGAATCATGGTGAGTAAAATATATTCCACATGGCCAATCATGGTGAGTGAAATATATTCCACATGGACAATTATAGGAGTGGAAAATAACAATGACTCCCCCATACAGAAATCATCGATCCTGGACTAGACCGACACCTACAGGATACATTGACGTGCAACCAAGTCATCGAGCCTGACCATCCTATCAATTTAGTCGCTCTTCATGACAAGCATCGGTTGCTGTGGACCTGTGTTTTACCCATGGGTAGCCTAAGCTAGTATGAACACCGTAAAGATCAACACAGGGAAACCGAACCCTATCTTAAATTCAGTTTTTAAAATACTTACTTGGATATTGTTCATAATCAAAAAGAATGAAGTCATTTACATATTTATCAGCAATTGTATGAAGAAGGGCATGCGGTATATTTCTGTACGCATCTTGCAATGCATTGTTTCTTTGCTCATGCCACCGCGACAGGTTTTCAGAACGAGGCTGACTGCTGAAATAGGATACGAAGAATTCAGTAACTATATCCCTTGATGCGGTGACAGACTGTCCATGCAATTTTTGTTTTAAAATATTTCTCGAAAATGTATCCGACAGAGAAAAATACCCATTATACTGAAAGACAACCCAGAGACGCTCTGCCAGATCTGTAGGTGACAAGCACACCGTTGTGATCTTCCCCTTTTCATAAAGTTTGAAATTGTAGTGAATTAAGAGTGAAAGTTCATCCTGGACATGAGATGTGTAGCTGCTCTTGTCCATCACCAGATGCCCGAGTCCTGTGTTATTCAGGATATACGCTGCATCTCTGGAGAACGTCTCCAGCCTTCCGATATATGCTGGTTGAAAGGAGCAAGGGTCGCAAAGATGACTCAAAGGATCCCAGTGAGCATCATTGTCTAATAAAACAAATTGAAGAAATTGTTCAAATGTTATTTTCTTAGGGCATTCAATGCTGAGGCGCTTTCTAAGCCAATTCCAATAGTCAGGGAGGAATATCTTGTCTAAGTAAGCAGACCACAGTCTGGCATAAGGGTCACGGACAAATAGGACCTTCGTTAAATCAGATCCCATTTCGATAATATTTTTTTCATTAAACGAATATTTGAATTTAACTCCTTTGTTATCATAATGGGCAGAGTATCTATCTATGTCAAACGGGGACTTCACGTGCTGATTGGTGTAATTGCCATTCAGAAACATCATAATCCGTGTCCAGAATGTACAGCCGACCTTTGGTGTCAGACAAACAGCCAGTCTACTGGGCAGATGTGCTAAGAGCGGTGCAACATTCCCTCGTGGTGTCTTCAGACATCCGCTTTGGTAGAGTTGCTTCCTCTTCTGGAATTCCGCCTCGATATAAGACGGGCTTGTCTGTAATATAAGCATAACCAATTTAACATAATATATATTTAAAAATTGAAAGACTAGGTACCTAAAAAGAACTCAAAACGACTCTTAATTCAAATACAGAGTGCATTCGCGGGGTACATCGCCTTTCGAAAACTAAATGCAGCATATTAAGACACCCCCACTCCGCAACACCCCCACCACCCCAACCCCTACCCCCCCAACACAAACTCTGTGAGCATTTTAATATTTTTGACACACCATCCCTTTTAAAAACTTATTATTGGTTAAAATGGAATGTGATGTGTGCCTTTGGCTTTGTTAGAGCTTTTGGCTAAGAAGTATGCCTACCAGCTGACAGCTGCAGTATTTTGGTGACTTTAACAGGTATAACATACATACTGCTTCTTGTTCTTTCGCCGACTTGTCTTGTGGTCGCATCTTTGGGGGTGGCATTCCGACGTACTGAGCAATCCAATGTGATTTGGTCACTACTGGCATGACTGAAAGAGAACACCAACATAAAATAGTGATGTAGTCCATGCCTACACGTCCTACGAACCTACTAAGACCAGAAGAAAAGCCAGTATACAGGGATTAGCAATGAATTTTGTACAGGTCCATTTACTGAAAACATCCCGGCAATAGTCCAAGGTCTATAAGGTGGAAAGCCTTTTAAGTGGAGGACATTTAACGTATCAGTGGCAAGAATGATGTCCGTTGCAATTCCCTTTTTTTCCTATTTGACTTGTACTATATGTTCCCGTGTTTTCAGGTGAACAATTGACTTGCCTTTGCGTGTGTTTGTGACGATGCCACCGGTGGGGCAGGATACCCTCACCTTTTCGCGAACACATTGTATCATCATTGATTGATGGTGATTCATAAACATTCATGATATGATCGGAATCGTACAATCGACTCTGCTTTTTGGCAGATATTTCTAATGAATATGGAAATGGTTTTGTCGCTTCTTATATAAGTGTGTTTGTTTGTTGTTTAACTCTATATAACACACTATAACAATATTCTAACTATATAACAGCGGTAACAGAATCGAGTCTGGACCATCCATTGACTGACGACTTGAGCACCTATGTTTACAATTGGGTTACGATGGCAGGAATCAGCGAGCTTGAACATTTTATAATCATATAAAATGGACAAACTAAAAGGAAATGGTATTCATTTTCAATTATAAAATTATGATTACATTTCTTGCACTTTAGTAAATCAGTATTGACTTTGTCATTGTGACGGTTTTGAATACCCAACTTATGGCTCAAACATCGAAATTTAAATAATATGCGGATAAGATCTTTATTTGGACATAACTCCACAATATATTTCTCTGGTTCGGGTACAGGTCTATATGTAAAATAATGGTTTAGATATGATACAGACATAATTTTAGCATGAAAATTCTGAATCTCTATGTCTTGACATCTTTGCTTGCAACATTGTATAAAATGTGATGTGCTGCCACACTCGTGTGTGATCCAAGCACACGTAAATCCAGTTTCTAGTAGCAGCAAACGAACATGCGTTACCCAGTTGTGGCCGCCGTTTTCAGCCTGTGATTTCAACATGTCATAACATGCTTTTGGGTATCGATTACTATCCAGCCCGCACCAACACATAAATATCGTTAAAAGTAAAAACCTTTTTCAATATTTGCACGAGAAGTGTAACCCCAAATTTCCGAACCATATAATAATATGAAAGCTATTTTACTGTCAAATATTGTAGATGCTACGTTTATAGAAGTGTTTGGATAATCCTTTAATAAGGTAATAATAGGAAACGAAGCCTTTCTGGCTGTTTCACACGCTTAATCTGGATATTAAGACAATACCTAGATTTTTATAGTGGGATACTACTTGCATATGGGGGGCGGTCGGGTAGCCTAGTGGTTAAAGCGTTCGCTCGTCACGCCGAAGACCCGGGTTCGATTCCCAACATGGGTACAATGTGTGAAGCCCATTTCTGGTGTCCCCCGCCGTGATATTGCTGGAATATTGCTAAAAGCGGCGTTTAACCAAACTCACTCACTCACTCACTTGCATATGTTTACCGCCATAAGTCCATTTTTCTGTATTTCTTAGGTATCCCCCATTTCTGAAATCAACAATATATGACTTCTCCAGGTTATCTTCTCGGACCCATTTGTAACAATAACCTTTTAACACATAAAGTTTTCTTTGTAGGCCTATTACAGTGTTATCAATCAATGTTACGTCATCTGCAAATAATAGCAGTATGACATCGTTTAGTCCATCCCTGACAAAAACACCTCTCAATCCACATTTCTTCACGTCATCTACAAGCTCATTTATAAAAAATATATAAATAAAACAGGACTCAACATACATCCCTGGCGTACTCCACATGATGTTGTGAATATTTGGGTTTTCGAACTTCCGATTCTAACACAAGCTGAGACCTTGTCATAAATATCTTTTAGAATTCTAAACATTTTCCCATGTACACCTTTCATAAGAAGAACATACAATTGCTTATTTCTGTCAACAAAGTCAAATGCCTTACGAAAGTCTATGAAAGTTGCATAGAATCTGTGTTTTGGTTTTCACAAATACTCAATCTCCTCTCTGGTATTAATACGTTCTGGCAGATTATCCATACTGTTACAATAAGCACTTTCGTCATCGTGATATGTCATATATTCATTCACAGTCGCATCAAACCCATCACTGCTGTTACGAGTCGGGTTAAGTAAATCTTTAAAATAAATAAACCACTTCTCTGGCGAGATATGTATCTTCTCATTTCGGTTCTGCAGTAGTGCTTCTATTTTAAACCAAAACTTCTTACAATCGCCATCTGCAAGTGCTGTACAAATTTCGTCCGCGATCGCATTGTTGAAATGTTGGCACTTCTCTTTACACAAAAGACGGAAGTGTCTCTTAGACTGAATATACCTACTCTAATTATCATTTGTTCAACATCTCCGAAACGTATTTAGACGACAATATTTTGTTCTTTTTGCGAGCTCACATTCATGATCAAACCATTTAGGTTGTACACGTTTTAAACCCAGTCGACTGTTACAGTTAACTTTAAGATGATTCCCAATATATTTCAAGAGCTCCTCTAGCTTCTCAGTGGCAGCATTAACATTGAAATGTACTAATAGCAGAAATTCATTCGCAATGTTACTCGATACTTCAGATATTTCAGCTTCATTGAATTGTCTTCGTCCACAATCAGCCCATTTATATTTTAACACATCGTCACATATTACACGGCCATCGTTTCCGATTATAACAGCACTTGAATTTAATTAACTTGTAAAATACAAGATACTGGAAGATGGTCCGAGTCCGTTCTGGAATAAACAACGATAACAGATTGAAAACAGTTAGTAGTTGCTAGTACATAATCAACGAATAAGTATGAACTACAAAAAGATATCGTGTATGAATTTCTGACCCTCGACCCCGTTAGTCACATCTAACGATAAGCATGGATCTTAACGGGACAAAGGAAAATAGTAACAATTCTATATTGTGGTCCTCGGTCCTCATTTCCACCATTGATATGGAGCGGAAACAATAACGGACGAAGTACACAGCCTTGTCTGTTGAACGTACATTCCAGAAAGTAATTGTTTTACACTGTTTTCAAACACATGATTTCCTCAGATGTATGGAAGATGTTTGTGTTTTCTTGCTAATTTATATGTTTATCTCATCCTGAAAAATACCAACGTTTTTCCGGGCTCTCGAGTGACATATCGATTTTACCTTTGGAAATAAATATAGTATTTCATCACTAAATATATAATACTAGGCACCTACTACATGAATATCTCCTTTCCATTGCAGACAGTTGTCGTTCTAAATGTTATAAATGTCAACATTTTGTTTTCCTTTCCTATTGGGTTAGTGTTGTCATACACAGCTGATTTAGAAGCCACGAGAGTCAGTTTACTTTTCCGCTGTAGCCTGTGTACCTCTCACCTGGACATATTTACAGACGAATGTATCACGAGGAGGTTTATCGATAAAGTCTTGTGATTTAACATGGAAATTGGAAGGAAAATATACTGAAGTAGAGAAAACGTATTATTATTACAATAATAATAATAATAATAATAATAATAATAATAATAATTCAGAATTGATACAAGTGATCACAACAGATGTATCTTGAACTAAAGCATGTAAAATGAATATTTAAAAATAATATACTCTAATTTCATCTGTTCTGATAATAGGCTGATCCTATTCAGCTATGACTAACATTTTATTCCAAAATTTAATTGGTCCATTAATAAAACAAAGGATGTTTTTTAATAACTCTCACAAACAAAATAATTTACAAAATTTAATGATTGGTTTTGAAAAATAGTGAAAAACGGAGTATTCATCTAAAGCATCAAGTGAACATCAGTATTTAAATGACTATTCGCGTAAAGCCCCATTCACATGGACAAAATTTACTCATGTAAGCAAATTTACTCATGTAAGCAAAAGTATATTTACATTGCGTTCACATGAAGTTTATGCAAGGCAGAAGTAAACATCATTTCATCAATAAATTGTGGACTTTTATCATTTGAGGCCATGTCGCTGTCGAAGATAGTCAACCAGAGGCGAAAGAGAGACTTTCCATACTTTCTTAGTATGGGATTAGTCTTAGGATTATGCCAGGAAAGAGAACTGTGGAAGAGAGAACGTTCTCAACACCGGTGGAACAATGTCGTCAAACGATCATTTGATGATAAACTGTGGATCGATAACTTTCGCATGACACGCGAAACATTTTATGTTCTTTTTAAGGAACTACAGCCGTATTTTCCTGCACAGGGAATGTATGTGAGGGAACCATTGGAGCTGGATCACAAGGATTTAATATGCTTACGTAAGCAAATAGAGAATCTGTTCACATGACCAGAAATACTCCAGGAGCAATTATACCTATGATGAATATACTTTTACTAGACCTCATCAGGTGTAGCAAATATACTTTTACTCATGTCTCTTTACTCCTGGAGTATATTTACTCACGTAAGCAAATGCGTTCACATGCCACCATAAGTAAATTTACTTATGTAAGTATATATACTCACATAGGTAAAAGTGTCCATGTTAATGGGGCTTTAAGTAATAGTGCGAAATTTGCTTGTCACTATTATTCACATCTCTAAGTGACAGAAGAGTGGAGTGGACGTGTGCTGCTCGTACTTAGTTCAAGACCTCTATCCAAACTACACTTACACAACGTTAACAGGATTACTTTCGGTTATAAAACATAGCTGGTCTTAGGTGTGGATGTTTAAGAATTGACGTCAATATCCTTTGTGTTTATGGCGATGTAAACGTAAAACGCGTTGTGCAAACGGTGTAAATCCGTGTAGAATTATGTCAAATATGCACACACGTTTTTACGTTTGACGCTCATAAACGCAAAGACATAGATGTATTGAATTTATTTAGATAAAAGCAACGAAACAATTTCCATAACCATAAGGACTCCCTGATCAAAGTCAGTTGTGCAATTCCTATTATATCCTAATATTGTTTGTATGACTGTCAAATAGTTATGATACCAGGCGTTCGCTAAAAGGTAAGCGTATCCTGACCCTCTGGTGGCAGCGTCACAAACACATGCAAAGGCAGGTTAATTGTTCGCCTTTAAAACACGGGAACATATGATACAAGTGAAAATAGGGGATTGCAGTTAACATCATTTCGGTCTTCAACTCTGTTGTCGTTATTGAGGCCACTGGCCCATGAACAATGCATAATCAGGAGGTAGTGTGGTACATGAAATCAGATACAATGTTACAGATTCACAGGCTTTTCATAATTAATCTTTAACCATATGTTCTCATATGTTTTCGGGTGAACAATTGACTTGCCTTTGCATGTGTTTGTGACGGGTGCCACCAGTCTGGCAGAGATTACTCAGTGCGGTTTACAAGAAGATTCTTTTAGATGTTTCAGAACTTAGTCACAATATAAAACGAACTAAAACGTTACGGATCATGATTTTTTTATGGACGTTTGTTTTAGTGAAGACTGAGCTTTTAGTTTCATAAAAAAATATCCACAGACATTGTCTTGATCCGTAACATTGTGTGGTCAGTATATGACACATTCTCCTTAAACGTTGATTTCGTTTCCACTGGTTTCGCAGGGGAAGTCGAATGTTAACGGACTACAGCAACTGCCGGACAATATGCCTTGTCATAAGTGTATTTGGACCTTCGGTCCTAGAGAACCAAGAGTTGGAGATGAGAAACGTGAGTGGCCTTTTGGTTATTCTTTGCATTGTTACATACCCAGTTCAAGCAGGGCCAAGCACACCACCAGCATCACAGCTGCTCTCAACACAACATACACTCGGCTGCAAACATATTGTCGTAAAGGTGCCATGTGCTGAAACAACATTGGAAATGTGTCTGACAAAGCGAAACAACATGGAACAATGTCTGACAAAATGAAACAACATTGGGACAATGTCTGACAAACTAAAACAACACTGGAACAATGTCTAACAAAATGAAACAACATTAGGACAATATCTGACAATATGAAACAACATTGGAACAATGCCTGACAAAACAAACAACATTGGAACAATGTCTGACAAAATGAAACAACATTGGAACAATGCCAAACAAAATGAAACAACATTGAAACAATGTCTGACAACATAAAACAACATTGGAACAATGCCTGTTAAAATGAAACAACATTGGAACAATGTCTGATAAAATGAAACAACACTTGGAACAATGTCTGACAAAATAAAACAACATTGGAACAATGTCTGACAAAATGAAACATCATAAGAACAATGTCCGACCAAATGAAACAACATTGGAACAATGTCTGACAAAATGAAACAACATTAGAACAATATCTGACAAAATGAAACAACATTGGAACAATGCCTGACAAAATGAAACAACATTAGAACAATATCTGACAAAATGAAACAACATTAGAACAATATCTGACAAAATGAAACAACATTAGAACAATGTCTGACAAAATGAAACAACATTGGAACAATGCCTGACAAAATGAAACAACATTAGAACAATATCTGACAAAATGAAACAACATTAGAACAATATCTGACAAAATGAAACAACATTAGAACAATGTCTGACAAAATGAAACAACGCTGGAACAATATCTGACAAAATGAAACAACATTAGAACAATATCTGACAAAATGAAACAACATTGGAACAATGCCTGACAAAATGAAACAACATTGGAACAATGTCTGACAAAATGAAACAACATTGGAACAATGCCTGACAAATTGAAACATCATAAGAACAATGTCCGACCAAATGAAACAACATTGGAACAATGTCTGACAAAATGAAACAACATTAGAACAATATCTGACAAAATGAAACAACATTAGAACAATGCCTGACAAAATGAAACAACATTAGAACAATATCTGACAAAATGAAACAACATTAGAACAATATCTGACAAAATGAAACAACATTAGAACAATGTCTGACAAAATGAAACAACATTGGAACAATGCCTGACAAAATGAAACAACATTAGAACAATATCTGACAAAATGAAACAACATTAGAACAATATCTGACAAAATGAAACAACATTAGAACAATGTCTGACAAAATGAAACAACGCTGGAACAATATCTGACAAAATGAAACAACATTAGAACAATATCTGACAAAATGAAACAACATTGGAACAATGCCTGACAAAATGAAACAACATTGGAACAATGTCTGACAAAATGAAACAACATTGGAACAATGCCTGACAAATTGAAACAACATTGGAACAATGTCTGACAAAATGAAACAACATTAGAACAATGTCTGACAAAATGAAACAACATTGGAACAATGCCTGACAAAATGAAACAACATTGGAACAATGTCTGACAAAATGAAACAACATTAGAACAATATCTGACAAAATGAAACAATATTGGAACAATGCCTGACAAAATAAAACAACATTGGAACAATGCCTGACAAAATAAAACAACATTGGAACAATGCCTGACAAAATGAAACATCATAAGAACAATGTCCGACCAAATGAAACAACATTTCAACAATGTCTGACATGTACATACGGTCAGCAGTAACTGGAGCTTAAGTGGATTAATCAAATAGTGGGTGAGTGAGTTGGGTTTAACGCAGCTTTTAACAATATTCCAGTTATATCACGGCGTGTCAGCTTAATGTGGGAGGAAAGCCCGAAGTGATGCAGGTCTCAGACGTTAACCACTTCGGTGATACCCACGGGCATGGTGCCGACAAACCTAGGAACACAATCGGGGCGAACCGGGATTCGAACCCACAATCATAGATTTCTGGCGTGCCTAAGGGACGCAACTCTGTACAGCGAGTCGCGACAAATTTATTGACTTTCAACGATGTCTAAGATAACCATCCGCAGTTGTGTATCATGCGAGAAAACAATTTGTAAAGTTTTAAGTTTTAAGCAAAATTATATATTAAACAGTGAACCTATGTACGAGTATAAGTAGTCTTTGAGTGCTGACTATGCGTCAGTTCAGTTCATTAATATTGTTTGGATACAATATCGTTAACTTAAGATATTTTCATATGTTAAAATCAACTGAGAGATATAGGTCTATTTGCTCCTTTTTATGTTGTAATAACCAGAAGATGGCGTATCCATATTTGTGTAAGCGACTCTTATCTGCTACAAGCATGTATATCTGACATATGCAAAATAATATCAGATGTGTGTATAAATTGCGTTTGAGGAAGGACATTTTGACAAGAGGTGGGCATCCCCATGTACACCAAATATGCCCCCCTTCTTGCTGGTCTGATTCTTTGTGCATATGGATCGGAATTGCTGCCCGGATAGATATAATCAAATTGTTTGTTAACGCCACACTCAGCAATATTCCAATTATATCACGGCGGTCTGTAAATTGTCTTGACCAGACAATCCAGTGATTGACATCATGCGCATCGATACACGCAACTGGGATACGATGACATGCATCAACCAGATCAGCGAGCCTGACCACCCGATCCCGTTAATTGCCTCATACGACAATCGTAGTCGCCTTTTACGGCAAGCATGGGTTACTGAAGACCTGTTCTAACCCGCATCTTCACGGGCTTAAACTTACACTTCAGATGTATCGATGACCTGATATCTTTCACGAACGGTCAAACAGCCAATTCCATTCACTTGAATTAGGTCTATGCATACATATCTCCACAAGATGGTAGGACAAGAGGGATGACTTCTTTCCAAAAGTCAACTTTCCCTTTATGTCGAGCAATATTCCAACAGCTCCTGCCTTTGGTGTCACAACCTTTGACATTTAAAGGGCATTTGCAATTTCAACGCATCAGTGACAAAATTGATGTCCGATTACGGTGGCCAATAAGGGACACGGAGTCTGTTTTTCAATATTTGATATTTCACTTACTGTTATCGTAACCTTTTGCAAATTAACACGATTTATCTTACAAATATGTGATAAATCATGTGTAAAGAAGATATTGAATCGCTGAAAAGTGAAACGAAAATGTCAAAAACTAAAATGAAAATGTCAAAAACTAAAATGAAAATACAGAAAACTATTTCCACCGCGGTGATAATATTTACAATAGTTTTCTGTGTATTCATTTTAGTTTTTGACATTTTCGTTTTGTGTTTTTGACATTTTCATTTTAGTTTTTGACCTTTTCGTTTTGGTTTTTGACATTTCCATTTTAGTTTTTGACATTTTCACTACACATTTCAGCGACTCAAAAGCTACTTCAAAGTACATTTTCTATGTTTTCGGATGTTTTTATACATGATTTATCACATATTTGTATGGCAGATTGTGTTAATTTGCAAAAGGTTAAGATAAAAGTAAGTTAAACATCAAAATATTGAAAAACAGACTCCATGTCCCTTATGGGCCACCGTAGTCCGACACAGTTCCCTATTTTGGCTTAAGCTTGTGCCATATGTTCTCGTGTTTTCTCGCGTGAACAATTGACTTGCCTTTGTATCTTTCACCGTTTGGCGAACCCTGTATCTTCAATATGTGTTAGTGATTCACAAACACATGCATCGTCGGAACTGTACAATTGACTGTACATTTCTTGTTAATGTGTATTTGTTTTGTCGTTTTTATTGATATACAATACATGATCCACACATAAATGTGTACAGACGCTTGGATGAGTGAGGTGAGGTGAAATGGGGTTTAACGTTGCGTCAAAGTTTATTGCACTTATATAGCGACGTGCATGGACGTGTGTGTGTTTGTGTGGCTGCTTGTACTAGTCCGGGCTGATGCCGATTTATAGTGCTAGCTCACTGAGATACCATGCCGCAGTTTAACATGAATATTCCACTCAGACACACTATACTAACTCCGAACCGACCAGTCCTTGTTTTAGCCCCTTAATGCCGAGCGCCAGACAGGGTAACAACAAGTACCATCTTTAAACGTCTTTTGGTATGACGCGGCCGGGGATCGAACCCCGGACCTTCCGCTCTCCGGGCGGACGCTCTACCACTAGACCACGGAGGCGGTCTCTTGGATGAGTGAGTAAAAGTCAAAGTCTCTGGTGAATCAAAACAAAGCGTAAGTGAGTTTCAGTGAGCATTTCAGTTTTATCACGGTACGTGATCTTGGTGTGGGAGGAAATCCCGAAGTAATGCAGGTCTTTGCCACATTGGTGAAAATTGTTAGCACGGGTACATGATGCTGACATTATCAGGCGAATCTAGGATTCGATCAAAACAAAGAATTGTCAAAGAAGAATTGTCACGGACATGTTTGAATACTTCCATATATTAAAAAGACACAAAATAATCCAACGTGAAATAAATAATGGCACGTATCACATTTTGTCACATCTAAGATTGGAATATACAAGAATTTGATAAAATCCTTAGGAAAGAAATAACTAGCATCACTTACTTTAACAAGGACCTCCATAGCTCTCAACAGGTGTGGCTGGTGTATGTAGAACCCACAAGAATCTATTTGTTCTTCTCCCGAAGCATGTGTACCTCTCTCCTGCGCATGTTTACAGATGATGCAAACATGACTCTAGCACTTTTATCGAAACAGCCATGTGATAGGGCAGGAAAATTTACCGCAGTAGCGGAAACATTGTTATTCAGAGTTGATACATATATATCTTGAACTAAGCATGCAAAAATGATAATAATATCTGAAAAATTCAAATATTTCCTTTATTCTGATAACAGGCTTATTCGGTATTCGTTAATATACCAAAATATATATTGGTATACATCTCACAAAGAAACTACAGTACAAAATGCATGTACTGGTGTTTACAAATAACGACAAACGGAGTATCCATTAATAATATCAACTGATATGATGAAC